GAGTGGTACACAAACTGCACTTGGATTTAAGACGATTAATTGATATTGCACTTCAATGCCTACGCCGGTTACCAACAAAGATGTGAGAAAAAAGGTTCTTTGTTATTTTTGTTTTATTTTGAATATAAGTGGGATATATTCATATATTTGGCAATTACGTCATGTTTTTCTTCATTTCATATTCCATTTTAGATATAATTTGAATTCGAAATATTGGATAGTTTGGAAATGAGTAAACAAGTGTTCAACTAATATTTTTTTCAAATTCCAGCTAACAAATTAAAATCAGAAATGATTATTTTACATGTCTGTTTTAATTCTAAAAGCTAAAATTACATGAAGTGTGTTCTATTCTTTTAAGCTCTGTTCTTTTGTAAACTATAAATCATAGCTAGACCAACTAAACTTTAACAAAAGACATATCATACGCAGGACATCATATTCAAATCATCCTATCTTTTATCGATCCTTATCTGTTTGGCCCAGCAGTAATTTAAGAATTTGGGATTTTTGATAAATTGCTGTTGAAGGTCAAAGCTTGGACAGTTGCACCGCAGAATTCGTATGTGTGATGTAGCGTTATACATTCTGAATGAAACCAAATACTTACAGCTCTTTAGTTAACATAGACAAAAAGTACATCAATGCTCCCTGTTACATTATAAGCTTACAATATTATCATGTTTTAATCGCCCTTTGTATTGATTGCACTGCAGATATTAATGAGAATGCTGTGCGGCAAGTCTTTTTGCACAACTAAACATATATACACTAAATGAACAATACTAAACAGATTAATTACTTGACTTACCGTATTAATATTTGTTACATGTATCGGAATATTTATGTTTTGCTGGACATCTATGATTACTTTTCAGTAATGTCATGCTAGTCACAGTCTACAACGAAATCTTGATTATTGTATAGCTTTTAACAATAATGTGCTGGTTGATTAGTAATCGTTAAGCCGGACCTGTTAGGAAGATTTTAAGATAATACATTTGTATGTATCTCAAGGCAACAATTGGTTTAGGTATCAATTGTCCACATCACATTGGAGTTATAGTTCATTTTGTTTGTAAAAGCATATGTACAGAGAGTACTAATAAGAAACATTTCGGAGTTTGTTATTGAAAAATTAAAAAAAAGAAAAAGATTAAAAAAAAAGACAAATAGAACTCACAAACCCGTATATTCCTTACAGATTAATATAGCAATGATGTGATTGTGACATATATTTCGATCAGCCAGGTTCAAAATGTTTAACAATAGCTTACATTTTAGTCTTATATAAATATCCACCAACTGGAAAAGACGATATACAGACTGTGAACAGAAAATTGTATTCAAACAGACATAACTCCGAAAGTTGTATTGCTGTTATATACAGTCTCAATTATTGTTAAGGCTGTCAAGTCAACAAAAAAGACTTTTGTCCTTTAATTATTTTGGTGGTAATTTATTTATATATATTTATGAGATCGTTCTAAATAGCAACCTAAGTTTCAAGTCTACCCTGAACAATATGAGTGAAATTTCATCCGAGATAATTTGATTATCTATTTAATTATCAGACCAGTGTTTCGATAAGCAGTTTTTGTTTTAACTTTCAAAACTCCTACAAAGGCAAGCTAAACGTTTTTTCGCACCGGGTCTGTAATCAGTTTAAATTTTAGGGCTTTGCTAGAATGAAAAAACCCACATTAATTCGTTGATAACAATCTAACAAGATCCTATGTATACCATCTTATTGTGAAGGGGATCCCCCCCCCCCTTTTTCAAGTTAATTCCGGAAGTTTCATCAATTCGGACACAATGGTGTTTCTCAAATGGTGTCTGTAGTGAGGCCATTGTCGAATTATTAAAATTTTGTGAATTGTCATGACACTGTTTCTATTTTGGACTTGACAATTTAACACGAAAGTACCCAAGACAGGTTCGAGAAAATGTGATGTAGGCCCCCTCCAGAATCGGGGGATTACGTATGTGTATGTAAAACATGGTAAATATAATTCAAACCCACCGACAGACGACGACTGTTGATAGAAACAAGCGGGCTTCATCTATTTCCAAAACAGACGTTAACGTAATTTTTTGCTAGAGTATCAATAATGAAAGTTTTTTGAAGTTAAAAAAAGAAAAAAAAGAAAAAAAAAGAGAAAAAAACACAAATAAGCACATGCGAAACAAAAGCTGCAAACGCTTACCTATATAATGTACAATAATTAACGTTACATATTTATTATATGACCCATTCAAAGGGAAAATATGATTGCTGTCCAGTTTATGAAAGAAAACGAAAAGAAGATGACACAAAAACTCGTGGAACGGAATGGCTTTAATAACTTTCTCTTATTTATCCGCGCAACATCATAACTTATAAAGGGATGGTGTCCGATATATACAGTGAGTACATTTTAATTCGGATATAGTTACCGATTGCAATATCAAACAACTAAACAAACACCGAAAAGAAAAAAAGCACATTTATACACAGTTGACTCCTTTACAGTAATTGATGATAGTGAGATCGACTGATACAACATTGTTGAAAATTCACAAATAAATATTTTGTACAGATATAGAACATAATTAAAGTTGATAATATATGCAGATTCAGAGAATTCTAGTGCTGAGAGGCTGGATAAAGTAAAAAATTATTCATTGATCGACTAAACGAACTTGGTGCTGATCAGGATGTTTTTGACTCAATATTGACCACGACCCATATTCATACCAATTGGCAGCATCCTTCATGTCAATTTGGCATCCAATGACGATGCCTAATTGATAATTCACACGTTAACCTTTACTACTACAGGCCGATATTTGGTCAACTACCACAAGTATACATCACTAGTCTTTCACTCTCCAACATCAACCACCACAAACTAACATCACCTCCAACAAGCCATTTCCTCTGCTATATAACCGTTTCACGTATTATTGGTTATTATCACCAATCATTTGTCATTTTACTCTACCAATACATTTTTGAAATGCTTACTGTGTATTTACCTTATATTCCCTTTCTCAAGTTATTTCATTGCATATTCATTGCATTTTCATTGCAACTTTTCTTATTCTGCATTGTTTTTTGAAAAACATAGTCTTATTTTACGCATGCCTTCTATAATAACTGATAAATCAACCCTTTTGTTAATACTATCAACTGATAAATGGTTATTCTACAGTTTCAGTCTGGTTTTGACATTTCTATATGAATTCCAGTTCACATCCCTGTTAGAGAATAGCTTACTACTTTATAAATACTCGGAGAATTTAATTTGGACAGATTTCTTTTCCCAACATTAACGGAAATCTAGTAGCTTGACAGAATGCCAGAAAATCCGTGGTAACACAAACATTAAATTATCGTAAACTAGATCAATAGTGTAATCTCGCCTTTAATACTATTTTGGAAGGGAATATGGCGTGATCTTTCTTCCTTAATTTCCGAATTCCGCCCAATACAATGTCTGTAGCCGTTGCCCGAATCACACACAAAAAAAAAGATAAACAAAAGTTATGGTCAATAACAAATGTTTCTGCTAAATAGAATTATCATAACCCTAATGTATTTTTTACAATTAATAATAAGGTTCTTTTTCTGGTAAAATAAACTAGGTGAAACGTAGACAACAACAAATAGATTCATTGAATGGGGGAGGTGGG